AAAAATTGAACATACGCATGTAACCATCTCGATTCATTTCCTGGGCATGCTTAAAAAGATCATGTTGAGCGGGATCAGGATCATAAAATGCGAAAGTAAGTTCGTCAATGAGCTGCCATAAAGTTTCATTATATTGTTTAACTTTATGACTTCCTAAATTAATCTTATTATCTTCTACAAATTCATCATACAATAATAGTACTCTCTCACGTTCGTCTTGAATTGCCATTATTTTTTGTTTTAGGTTTGCTGGATCTAATAAGCCGGAAGTCAAATTTTGCTTGACAAATTTAACACCATATTGCTCCAAGGCTTCATCAAAAGCTAAGTAGTGGTTTTCTCTAGTAATATTTACTGAAGCGACATGCTTGAATAGCTCGTATTGCTGTGGATGACGTGACACTGATTCTAAAAAGGTTATAACTGATGATGTATAAATATTTTTACCAGTAGTAGGAAATAAGGGCGCGAATGCTGCCAAGCTTTTTAATTGCATATCCGCATTACCCAGACGAATACCTATACGATGAGCTTTCCAATACCCGGCTAAACGGTAAAATAAAAACCACACTTTTAAAATATTATTATCTCCTCTAAATATAGCTTCTACATCTGATGGTATATTGTTATTATTTAAATGAATATGAATTGCTATTCCAACAGCGGTGTGTATTAATTCTAATACTTTACAGGTCGCACGATAGTCTACGTTTTGCTCTAGCTTGTCAAGAAATCGGACACCAAGCTTCGCCGCCATGCTATAAAGACCGTATCCACTAAATCCTGCAATCAAGGCACTGCATATAGCCTTCGAAGTATGCCATTGTCCAAGGATAAATCTACAAGTTAAGTTATTATTTGTATACGTTTTTGTTCTTGCAAAAATAGCCGCATCGCATGCTAAATCAACAACGTCTTGTCCAAGGTCTTCTAAATACATATCGATTGACTTAAATACGGATTCGTTACTATTAGGTTCTGGTCCAGGCTCTAATATAACGACGTTTGGTGGGTTTACTCGGCATCCCGATCCAACAATAGTAAGAATTTCAGCATTAATTTCTTCAACTCCAAAATCTTTGTTATGTCTATTTATTAATTGTTTTACTATTATATCAAATTTTTCATCCCATTCTGATGTAAATGCCGATTGACCAAATAAATTTTCTTGAAATTGTGGATTTTCTTGAGTAAGAGATGATAAGTCGAATGGAAGTTCGAATTGAAACACCATTCTTAGAGTAGCATGTGAAGATTGTCGCGTAATATCATATATATTCCCATACTTAAAGACAATATCCTTGAAGTCGATATTATCAATCACAGCAACGTTCCATATATTTGGACCTTTAATTAATCTTGTCAAAGGATTAGACTTACTTATACGTTCTTTTTCTAATCTTGTTTCATGTTTCCAGGTATGGGATGTAATATGTACCGCATGTAATATGGCTTGCAGAGAAGATATTAATTTAGGCTTTTTACATAAAGAAGCCATGGTATAGGTAAGCCATATTTTCCATGAACGAAAGGCTGTTGTCAGAATAATAGACGCAAGAAACGTTGTAATTTTTTTTAGAGGATCTGTATTAAATTCGGTTTCTTTTTTTCCACGTTGTCTATTTTTCCTTTTTCTTACTTCGTATTTTTGTTTTTCAATAGATTCGATTAATCCATTAAAAAAGCTAGTAAGAATCAAAGGGAAACTATTATAATATTCATCTAATGAGGATGGATTTTCTAACTTATTACGATTTTTTTCAATGTCTTTACGTGAATTACATATTGTATTTCCTAGCATTTCTCCAAATTGACGGCTTTCTTCTACTTTTATAAGTTTTTTATCTGTAGACGAGTAATTATCGAACCTATTAATTTTCATGGCAATTTTTACAAGCAATGGGCTAGGTAAATTAAAATCCGTATCCATTGAAGTTGACGACGATAATTCCGGGTTTTCTAATAATTTTATAAGATGCCGCAATACCTCTTCTTTTTTATTCTCATTTTGAGAATATGAGAGATTAAATAACCAAGATGAAAAAAGTCTTAAAATATGGTTAGTGTCTTCTGTATGCAGATTATTCTCAACACATGTTTGAGACTTTCCAGATCCTAGACGTTTATGAAGATGTCCACCATGTTTTTCGAAGCATTTTGCACAGATATATCTAATATATCTGTCACCAATAGTAAATTTCGAGGCAATCTTTGGAATTATTCGAAATACGGGGCAAGATTTTAAACCAAGACATGGGACTTGAACATCTCTCCCGCATACATTCCAACAATGGTCTACACAATCATTACCTCTACTAAAAAATGTTTTATATTTATTGCATAATAAGCATTTTTTTTTATTAACTACTCCTTTAGTATAACGCCTTAATTGTTTAGTACCAGACGAATGAAGTTGTCCATGATCGAAGTTAAAATGATTAGAGCAGACTCCCAACTCAGTTAAGTTTAAAGATTCATCTGGAGTCAATTCTACTTCACATGCACCAACTAATTGTGCTAGTGATTTTAGAGAAACTGTTGAATTGCAACGCCCGATTGCACCATTTAAATTATCAACAATAACGCAAGGTGATAGTTTTGTTGCTTTAGTTTCAGGAATTTCTTCATAATCTGTATCGTCATCGTCATCATGCTCAGATAATGTATCTCCAATATCGTTATCTTCGTCTTGAATTACTTGATCTTCTAATAAACTTCTTGCTTTTGTAGCGGCTAGATAATCATGAGTAAACATGAATTCATGATCATTTAGGTCAGTATTCCAACTTTCGTCTTCTAGATCCATTAGGGCTAATTACAAATAAAGTAATATGTAAGTAATGGGTTTATTTGTTAATGTTAATGGGTTTATTTGCTAATGTTAATGAATTTATTTGTTAATGTTAGGTAGAAGGCTTGAGGTATCTTATTTATATATTTTGAATTTGGATATTTGAAACGTTTTAGAGAAGTTTTAACAAAGGTGTTTCAGAGGGTTTGTATCATTTTACCAACAATCATTTTCTCAACGTAATAATTTGCCGACAATCAATTTACCAACACATTTATTTTATCAACAATCATTTCACAAGGCCAGATCCCGATAATTATTTTACTGACAATTATTTTGCCGACAATTATTTCATCGACAATCCTATTATCTACAAAATCATTTCACCGACAATCATTTTACTGACAATTATTTCACCGTGAAACAATTATAAGTAAAATAATTGTCAAGTGAATTGTTAGTATAATAATTTTCGGGTAATTGGTTTCTGTTAGAATTAATTTAAAAACACACACTAATTAACGATTTTGCTATAATTTTGATTTATTATATGTATTGCATTATTGTAAATAATGAAGCACAATAATTGTAATAAAAAAAAAAAAGTGATACAAATAAAAAAAAAATTAAATTATAATAAAAAATATTATATAGATCAATGATAAAAATAAATTAATACATTGCAACAATACATCTTTTTTCAATCCATTTATAATCATTAAAAATACCGAATTTACATTTCTGATTTCACGAAATACTACTAACTCTTCTATAAATTCTAAGTAGTCATTTAAATTAAGCATTTAAGTGCAACGTACGTTTGAATTTACTAAGCCAATATGCACGATACACAGCTGCAAATCTACCTTTCTCTTTTCTTGAATATCTTCAAATTCATCATAAGGAATCTATAACAATTGATATTTGTTTTCAATTCAACATATTTATTACAAGAAAAATAAGAGAAGTTAGAAAATTACCATTAAATATTCTATTATCACCCATATTAGTGGCTTTTTTATAAAATTCAAAACCTTCCTCTTATCTTTTTCGACTCTATTTTCGAAGGCATTGATTTATCACCTTCAACACCGATTCTAGAAAAATAACTACAACAGACGTTACATATTCAGCTAAATTACTTTAATCAAAAAAACAAAATGAGAAGTGACAAGTTAAAAATTAGCATAAACAAGAAAATTTTAATAAAAAGTAAAGAGATAGAAGAATACTATCCTTTTATAATTATGTCTAAAGCTCAGCAAGACTTTTTTGGTAATCGAGTAAAACCTAAAACTATCAACACAATAGTAATAAAAGAGCAGCTTTGGTAGAGTTCATCCGAGACTAACTTAACTTTCACAATGCGAATTGGCTAAAGATTCTTTACGTCTTGCTCCAGGCAGGATTGATCCCGAAAGTATCTTGCAAATTGCAACCAAATCTTGGGAAAGAAGTTTTAAAAAACGTTATTTGAGTAAAGCACCAGTTCGAAGTTAAAATGCATACCAGAGTAAGAGAACTTCACGACCTTAATAGAAATAAGATTTCAAAATGTTAGCAATCTTTGAGCGCGAGATTATTTTCCGTTTACATATAAAACGATTTTTAAACTTATCCTATTTGATAGAGCAAAACCCGCAGAATAGCGTTATTTAGAAGATATTTTTAGTATCTTTCACTCGTCATGTGGCTTGATTAGGAGCGAATAAAATATTTCTAAAATTTTCATAGTAAATTTTTAAAAATTGATCTACATTTTACTATGATCTTGCACT